CGGTTCTCCCCGATTAGAGTCCGCACACTTAACCACGACACCAAACTGGCTCCAAAGGGGTTTGGAATATGACTTCTCTTGAACAGCATCCCACTAAAGGTGTGGTTACTAATTTTTGGAGTTTCAATCAGCACCATAGTCTGGTGTTCTAAGAGTGCAAAAGTCTTGCAGGGATATCTGTCAAATCGAGGGATTGCCAACTCTGGGTTGGAAAATTCCTGGGGGTTTGGGGGGGGCGGAGCCTGGGGAAGCTGAGGTTTGGGGGGGGGACCTCAGCTGGGTATAGTGCCATAGAGGCCACCCTCCGAAGCAGCTATTTTCTCTTGGGGACCTGATCTCTCTAGTCTGGAGATGAGATGTAATCCTAGGAGATCTCCAGGTTCCCCCTGGAGGTTGGCAGCCATAGCAGAACTCCCTCCGCCATAGCTTAAGGAGATCTCTGAGCTGTGATTGTTCCTGCACTATTCCTATCCTTGCATCGAGCTAAAATGAAAGCAATATATTTTTGGTATTTTGGTATGCGCGTGTGTGTGTCTGTGCCTGGAAGTCATGGTGACCTCTGGCGCCCCCTACTGGGGCATGGAGGAGGTTCAGAGAAGTGGCTTGAGGGCCTGCCTCTGCCTCGGCATAGCAGAGTGTTAGGTTATTCTTAATTTTAAAGTGAATCAGCAGAGTATTAAAGAGGCAGAGTCCATGGTGTGTTTAAAAGAATAAAAGTTTACTACAACCTAGCATGGGGAAAAGGTACACGGGGATGTAAAATAACAAAGAGCTTATATGCCTACATCCTTACAGCTAGACTGAAAAATGGCAGAAGAAGAGAGCTTCTTCTTCTTGGTCAGAACAAAGAACCACAAGACGGGAAGAGAAGCCATAAAATGCTAATACTTGGCACTTTGGTCTCCAATCAGAACAACAACTAGATCTGGAGTTACAGGGCTTTCTAACTCTCTAAACAGATTGGTTACAAATAACATGTGACTTAACAAACATCATTAACCCAGTAAATACTGAAAAGTGTTTTAACTTGTAACACCCAACACAGAGAAGCCGTTAACTTTCCCAGCCATGTAAACTGCAGCTGGAACATCCACAAGGTCAAGCGTAAGATAGCGCACAGTAGCTGAGCAGGGGAGAGCTGAGGCGGAGAAGGAGAGTACCCCTCCACATTCCAGGTCTATGACAGGGCTACCTGACAATGAGGGGGTCACCATAAGTTGTCTGTGACTCGATGCCACTTTCTACCCCCATACAGAGAGCAACTGGTAGAGAGGGGGGATTTGCATTGGGAGGGGACCACGGAAGGGAAAGGGTTAAACCTTTGGACCCCCTGCAACCCCTGCAGCCCCAGTCTGACTTTATCCCCCTTGCCAGTGCATCGAGCCTTCAAGAAGAACCTGGCCAGTTCCCCATTGTGGATCTCTCAGGTCCTGTCCAATGCTGCCTCTAAGCTGCGGAGTCTTTGTGAGCAAGAATTCAACTTTGTGAGCCGCTGGCATTAAAGTTGTGAGCGAGCGATTTGGCTACTGCCTAAATTAGTTTGCTCTGGAGCCATCTTTCCTGAGCTGAGACAAAGATGTGTGAGCCGGAGGCTAAAAAACGGTAAGCTAGCTCGCACTAACTCAGCTTAGAGGGAACACTGGTCCTGTCTGTTCTGGCCTTAGGTGGCAAGCCGTTTTCTCCTGCCGGCCTCCCTGAGTTGGTGCAGAGTTGGTGGTGTCTCTCTGTTTGTGAGCAATTCCCCAATAACAGATGGCTTCCCCTGTCGGGGCTGCGTGAAGCCCAAATGCTCAGTCTACGTCAGTGTCTCGCACAACAGCGCTGCCGCTTCGCTCAGAGCCAGTGGAAATTTTGCAAATTTTGTGTGGGCCAAGCGAGACAAGTGTGGAAAGGGGCGCTCACGCTATCGCTTCGCTGCTGGGTTTATTTCTTCAGTTCATTTATACCCCCCCCCAATGGGGACGCAGAGCAGTTTACATCATTTTTCTCCTCCTCCTCTTCTCATAGCAACCCTGTGGAGTAGGACAGGCTGAGAGTGCGTGACCAATCCAAGGTCACCCAGCAAGCTTCCATGGCAGAGTGAGGATTCGAACCTGGGTTTTCCAGATCTCAGTCCGACACTCTAAAAGCCAGGGCTATTTTTGGGCAGGAACGCACAGGAACGGAGTTCCGGCTGGCTTCTGAGCTGACCACGCCCAGCAGGAACTCATTAGCATAATAGGCCACACCCAACAGCAGAAACTCATTAGGGTTGGCTACATTAGGGGTGTGTGGCCTAACATGCAAAGGAGTTCCTGCTCCAAAAAAAGCCCTGGGTTTTGACAACAAACAAGGTAAACAGAATAAGAAGCAAAAGGTGGGTGTGGCTGGATGACCACACTTCTGGTAACATGGGGGTGTGGCCTAATGTGCTAATGAGCTGTGCTGTCATGAGTGTGGCCTACTATGCTATTGAGTTTCTCCTGTTGGGTGTGGCCTATTATGCTAATGAGTTCTTGCTGGGCTTTTTCTACAAAAAGAGCCCTGCGAAAAGCTATATATTACTATCCCTTCCTACTTGAGAGTTTACACATGGGCAATTTGGAATGGAATTGCCGTCTGGCACTAATCCCCTCCCCCAAGGAAGTCCTTAGTGAGAGCCCAAGTGGCAAGATCTGCTTGCAAACGGTTGCTGAAGTGCATTGGAACGGCATTGCTGATCATGTGTGAAAGGGGTTAGTCTCCCTCCATTGTTGGGGCAAGAAAAGCGTGGCTCAGTATCATTTTCAAAAGCAGCATCGTTCATACTGCCTTTGGAAGGGAATAGGGTATGGATCGTTCTGTTGCTTCTCATGGTGGCAAAGCAGAGTGGTACAGTAGTGATGAGAAAGACTAAATATCCTTGGAGCATGCGCAGAGCGGTTTTCTTCAAGCCAGTACCAGGTCAGCCTGTGCAAGAGGGCTTCCTTGTTTTTAGAACGGTGTTTTTAAAAGCAAACCTGAATATCAGCCCTGAAAAAATGCAACCCACTTGGAAAGACGAGGGTGCTTTTGAGCATGTGTAGAGGGCCTTTCCCTCAGCCAACATTGGAACCAGCTCATGTTCTGTCGACACCTGAATGGTAGCCAGCTGATTCGCAGCACCTTCATAAAAGTATAATCCCCAGGGACCTTTGAGGGAAGTCACGGAAGCCCAAGTGGTCCCAGTGTGCCAGCACCACAACTATCTTTGTGGGCTGCTCAGACAGATGTTGAGCAGATGTGGACGCCTATGTTACATGCTCTGCCTGGGCTGCATTAACTCTGTATAGATTCAGGTGGACAGCTGTGTTGGTCTGAAGCAATAGACCAAAGTTTGAGTCCAGCGGCACCTTTGAGACCAACAAAGTTGAACTCCGGGTGTACCCGTATAAAGGTAAAGGTTCCCTTGCGCGAAAGCCAGTCGAATCCGAGAGTTAAACTTGGTTGGTCTAAGGTACCGTATATCGCTCTACTCCCATCTAGTGGTCAGATAGTGCATAGCTACTGATGGAGCGTCCATTGTGGCTGCAAACGGATCGGTTGAAGGCTTGTTCCAAGTGTCAGGGGACTGAGAAGAGCAACTCCTTTTGAAACCACGCGAGTGCTTTGATGATTTAATATGCAATTTGGGGGCATAACAACGACCCTTCTGAGCTCTAGAAATCCCGAGTGCCTCTGCTTGTAGGGCAAAAGGCAAGGGGGAATTCGCAGCTGGGAAAATAACCCAAGATGAAACACAGCTCCATCCCAGCAGTTTCAGGCTGAGGATCAGGCCCATAGCCAAGATTTTTAAAATAGGGGAGCCTTTTAAAGAAGTCAGGGGGCACTGAAATTTGCAGCTTGGAGGCACGTGTAGGGGTGTCAAACTCATTTGTTATGAGGGCCAGATATGACATAAATGAGACCTCGTTGGGCCGGGCCATGTGCGTCATAAAATGTAATGCCAGGTAGCGGAGATATAAACTTTATAAAGGACACAAACACAAAGGTTTTTTTTTTTTACTTAAAATAAAAACATGCTTAAAACATGAGCACTCTTGCAATATTTTGTTTATTTAAGCAGTGTCTGATAACTGACACCTCTTGCTCTGAATTATTGCATCAGAATGTCTGTGCTGCTGCAGTCTTGAGTATGCTGTTCAGGTGTGTATCTGTAAGCTGCGGACCTACAATGACGCAGCAGCAGCAGCACTGGAAGCAGCAGCAGAAGACAGCCAGTTCCACTGTGGGCCTGATAGAAGCCCTCCGCGGTGCCTCAACCGGTGCCTCAACTGGCCCCTGGGCCACATGTTCCCTTTAAATGCTTGGGGGGAAGCGGGGGGAGGCCACACGCGTACCTGCACTCCAAGTTGCAAATTTGTGGCTTGTATTGCAGGTGTGTGTGGCCTCCCCCCTTCTCCCTAAAAGTTGTGGGGCCTTAGGAGGACGTCGGGGGGAGGGCTGGGCCCCAGGAGGCCCCTCCATAGCTATGGGCCTGCTGAGGATAATAGGAGCTGTGCTGACTGCACAATTCCAAGTGCAATTCAAAGAGTAGAAAGAGGATGCATTGGCAAGACCGTCTGAACTTCCAGCAACATGCTAAAGCAGGGTTCCCCAACAGGGTGCCCTTGGGCGCCATGTTGCCTGCCGACACCTTTTCTGGTGCTCACCAAGTGTTTTTAAGAAGTGGGTGGAGCCAAGTAGGGCTTTTCCTAGCAAGGCTTCTGACTGACTCTTGGAGATTTGATTGGCCGTGCAGATTTTTTAAAAGGATGTTTCTTTAGCAGCAGCTGCTGTCACAGCACAAGGACCTGCACTGTGTCCCTGGAGGTAAGCTGCGACAATCATTTTGTGGCCGGCTCCGCCTCTTGCAGCAGCCACTTTGTTGCTGTGCCCACCGTGGGGTGTCAGAATTCCAAATGTGTCTGCAGGCTCAGAAAGGTTAGAGGTCCTAGGCACTAAACTCTGGAGCTCCGAGAAAACCTTGTGCACAAAAGATATGTAAGGACATACGAAGAGCCCTGCTGGATCAGACCAGTGGTCTGTAGTCCAGCATCTTGTCTCGCGCAGTGGCCCACCAGTTCCTCTCGAGGGCCAGCAACAAGGCATAGAGGCCTTCCCCTGATGTTGCCTCCTGGCTCAGGGATTCAGAGGATTAGTGCCTCTGAATGTGGAGGTTCCCCTCAGTCACCGTGGCTAGTGACCACTGATAGACTTGTCCTCCATGAATCGATCTCATCCCCTTTTCAAGCTGTTTGTTCCTGTAGCCATCACCTCATCCTCTGGCGGTGAATCCCACATTTTAATCACTCTCCTTTACCCCTATGAATCATTGTTAGTCCCATGTGAATATGTGTAACTGTAAATCGCTCAGAGCCAGCAGCTCTGCAGGATTGAGCGATTAATAAATCGAAAGATATTATTATTATTAAAGGATTTCCTTTTGTCTATCCTGAACCTACTGCCCATTAGCTTCAAGTGAATGCCCTTGAATTCTAGTATTTTGGGAGAGGGAGAGAAAAAAATTCCCTACGCCAACTCTTTCCATCCCATGCATATTTTGTAAACGTCTATCATTATCATTAATTAAAAAAGATTTTCTTTTCAGTCTTCAGAGCCAGTTTGGTGTAGTGATGAAGTGTGCGGACTCTAATCTGGGGGAACCGGGTTTGATTCCCCAGTCCTCCACTGGCACCTGCTGGATGACCTTGGGCAAGTCATAGTTCTGACAAGAGCTGTCCTTGAAAGAGCAGTTCTTGAAAGAGCTCTCTCAGCCCCGCCGACCTCACAGGGTGTCTGTTGTGGGGAGGGGGAGGGGAAGAAGATTGTAAACCGCCCTGAGACTCCAACTGAAGGGCGGGGATGTAAATCTAATCTCCTCCTCCTCCTTTTCACTGGTTTGAATAATATGTTCCTCCACCAACATTGTCTCTCTAAGACCAATCCTGTCCTGTTCTGTTATTCTCATTTGCCAAGTGTCTTGCATTTATTCATTTACTTCATTTATATCCTTCCTTTCACCCCAATGGGGACCCAAAGCAGTGTGCATCATTCTTTTCTCCTCCATTTTATCTTCACAAGAACCCCATGAGTAGGGTGTCCAGCCTCCAGGTGGTGGCTGGAGATCTCCAGGGATTAGAACTGATCTCCAGGTGACAGAGATCAGTTCATCTGGAGAAAATGGCCCCCTTGGAAGGGGAACTCTGTGGTACTATACCACACGTAAGTCCCTCCCCTCCTCAATCCCCACCCTCCTCAGGCTCCGCCCCCCAAAGTCCAGGTAATTCCCAACCTGGAGTTGGCAACCCTACCTGTGAGGTTAGGCTGAGAGTGTGTGACTAGCCAAGGTCACCCAGTGGGCTTCCATAGCAGAGTGGGGATTCGAACCTGGATCTCCCAAATCCTTGTCCGACCCTCTAACCCCTACACCAGTGGTGGCGAACCTATGACACGGGTGCCAGAGGTGGCACTCAGAGCCCTCTCTGTGGGCACGCGTGCCATCATCCCAGCCAGGCCCAGACCATCATTAAAGTGCTGAATTCTCTGCCAAATAATTTGAAGTAAATGAAAGCATTTGGGATTGCTTTCCTTACTTTGTTTGGATCATCTTAAGTTAATGTATGAGTTGGTTTTTCTGAAGTAAAACCTCAATATTCAGGTTAAATTGCCGTGTTGGCACTTTGTGATAAATAAGTGGCTTTTGGGTGCAGTTTGGGCACTCGGTCTCTAAAAGGTTCGCCATCACTGCTCTACACCAAGCTAGCTCTCACCTCAAACACTGGGGCACATCGATGCCCTCAGACAATATTTCATCTTTTCCCACTTGACGTATCTGCGTGTCTTCGCTACAGGTCTGCATCCAAAATGGCCGCCAACGCCACTTGGGAAGAAAACGTTTACGGAGACTATGAGGACTATTCCGATTCCGAAGACGACCTTCCCCTCCGGGACTCCATGCACACTCTCTCCATGGTGGTCTACAGCATTGCCTTTGTGCTGGGGGTGGTGGGAAACGGCCTGGTCATATTTGTCACTGGCTTCCGCATGAAGAGAACCGTCAACACCATCTGGTTTCTCAACTTGGCCATAGCTGACTTTGTCTTTACTTTCTTCCTGCCGCTGAGTGTGGCCCATACGGCTCTGCGCTTCCACTGGCCTTTCGGGAAGGCTCTCTGCAAGATCAACAGCACAGTGGCCTTCTTCAACATGTTTGCCAGCGTCTTCCTCCTCACAGTCATCAGCATGGACCGCTGTATCTCAGTGGCGTGTCCAGTCTGGGCCCAGAACCGCCGCACTGCCCGGCTGGCGTCTCTGGTAGCGCTGGGCGTCTGGGCCGCAGCCCTCATGCTCAGCTTCCCACACTTTGTGTTCCGTGACACCAGAAAGTCACCCACCAATGAGAATATCACTCACTGCTACAACAATTTTGCCCTGTCTGCCGATTTCCAGTCAGAGGAAGTCGCCAGGCTGGAGCAGTATCGACACCGAGCCATGGTGTTGACCCGTTTTGTGGCCGGCTTCCTGGTGCCGTTCACCGTCATTTTGGTCTGTTACGGCATCATTGCGGCCAAGCTGAAGGGAAACCGGCTCACCCGCTCTGGGCGGCCGTTCAAGATCATGGTGGCCGTGGTCTTGGCCTTCTTTATTTGCTGGTTCCCTTACCACGTCTTCTCCTTCCTCGAGATGTCGTTGGCCATGGTAACGCCCTGGCAACAGACGCTTCTGGTGGTGGGGACACCCTTGGCTTCAGGCTTGGCCTATCTCAACAGCTGCCTGAATCCTTTCTTGTACGTCTTTGTGGGGCAGGATTTCAGAGAAAAGTTGCGGATGTCCGTCCTCGCAGCTTTTGAGAGTGCCTTCAGTGAGCCCTCAGCTCAGGTTTCCCTGCCTCTCACTAAGAGCAAATCCAGCTCGGGTGTCGACAATCACCTGGTCTAGAAGGCCCAAGTCATCACTTGGGAGAAAGAAAATGGGATAGAAGTTTTTACTCACAAAGGTGAAGAATGGGTTCTAGAACCTTCTGAACCTCAGCATCCCTCTCTGTGTACGTGCGAGAATGTGTCTGAAGTGATTCTCGCAAGTTAACATCTCATTTCATGGGTTCAGGTCCTCACTACACATTATGCAACTGTTGCGTCTGCCTTTTCCTTTGTGACTGTGGGTCTGTGCCTCTGGCCCCACGTTCAGAAGCACTTGAGTAATGAGTGATGGAGCCTAACCAGCCTGTGTTTTGTCTACGCTTGGACGTTCGACAGTTGATGACGCTGTCCTTTCAACTACCCTCTGATCAGATTTCAGGTTTTGGGACAGCCCCGGCAGAGAGTTCCCAGGGCCCCTCTCCCCACTCCGGTTGCCAGCTCCAGGATATTTTAGAGTATTGGGGGTCCAGACTGAGGAGGGTGGGGTCTGGGGAGGGCCAGGACCTCAGCAGGGGAGAATGCAATACAGGCCACCCCCCAGTTCAGCCATTTGCTCCAGCGGAACTGAGTTTTATAATCTGGAGAGCAGTTGTAGTGCTAGGAGATCACTGGCCTTACCTGCAGGGCTATTTTTGGGCAGGAACGCACAGGAACGGAGTTCCGGCTGGCTTCAGAGTTGGCCACGCCCACTATAGCCAAATCAGGGCTATTTTTGGGCAGGAACGCACAGGAACAGAGTTCCGGCTGGCTCCCGAGTTGGCCACACCCAGCAGGAACTCATTAGCATAATAGGCCACACCCAACAGCAGGAACTTATTAGGACTGGCTACATTAGGGGTGTGTGGCCTAACATGCAAAGGAATTCCTGCTATAAAAAAAGCCCTAAACAGAATAAGAAGCAAAAGGTGAGTGTGTCTGGATGACCACACTTCTGCGAACATGGGGTGTGTGGCTTAATATGCTAATGAGCTGTGCTGTCAGGGGTGTGTCCTAATAAGCAAATGAATTTCTGCAGTTGGGTGTGGCCTATTATGCTAACCTGAATGCATGGCTACAGAGGGAAGGCCTGGAGAGCGACTCTCCGGCGACTCCGAGGTGGGCAGGCCATGGGGGGCCCTAGAAGGCTCGGGGAGGCATTTAAATGCCTCCCCATGCCTTCCCTGGCCTGTCCAAGGGCCAGCTTGCTGCGGGGTGCCCGGGCAATTCCCTTCTCTTCAAGGGGGAGCTTGCCTGGGGGCAAGCCAAGGGAAGGCATGGGGGTGTGGCCTAATATACTAATGAGCTGTGCTGTCAGGTGTGGCCTAATATGCTAATAGGTTTCTCCTGTTGGGTGTGGCCTAATGTGCTAATGAGTTTCTGCTGGGCTTTTTCTACAAAAAAAGCCCTGCTTACCTGGATAGGGTTGCCAGCTCCAGATTGGGAAGTACCTGGAGATTTGGGGGGTGGAGCCTGGAGAGGGCAGGGTTTGGAGAAGGGAGGGACCTCAGCAGGGTATATTTACATAGAATCCACCTTCCAGAGCAGTCCTTTTCTCCAGTTGTAATCGTAGGAGATCTCCAGGTCCCACCTGGAGGCTGGCAACCATCCCTCGACCCGC